CTCTCGCTTCCTCCACTGCCTTCCCTGGCGTAGTTCCACCAGGATGGCCAACCCGTCTTCTCTGGCACCTTCCCGGGGACACCTCTCACCTGCCCTCGCCCTCAAGGTATTATCTTCCTGCCCCGGCCTCCTACCCTGTCTGGTCCTCAGCTGGGGGGACCTGCGGATAGGGGATGTCTTTAAATCCTGTTCTAGTCCTGACCTCAGCCTTTGACAAAAGTGAGGACCGGGACCCTGGCTCTATTCAGATGGGGACCTGGGGTATCCCCGCCCCAGAGGTACAGATTGGGTATGACTGTCCTTGGGAGGAAGCAGAGGCGGGAGGCCCTGGACCTGGTGATCAGCCTCCTCCCAGGCTGGCTGCGTGTGGGTGTGTATGTGCGAGACTGTGAATGAAAGCGACCAGCCAGCTCCGACACCGCCTCTAGCAGTTTCCAGAGTTGAGAGTTCCTAAGCCAGCGCCACTTGCACTATCTTCCTACCCCCTTCCCCCAGGTCGCCCTAGGAGAGATCCCTGGGAGGGGGTTAAGTTCCATCCTACCCAGCCTAGCCATAGATGCCCTTGGGAGAAAGGAGCATGGGGGCTGGGCAGGCTACATAGACAGCAGTGTATGCCGGTGGAAGGTGACCCCTAGCTGAGACAGCTGGGTGTATGTAGTATAGAGGGCTTTACTGTGGGGATCAAAATTGTCCCTCTTAGACGACTCATTTCTCCTTCCAAGCCTCAGTTTCCTATCTGTAGATAGGATCTTTAGTGCCCTATGTGTCTCCACACAACACTGTGGAGACGATGTGACATTATGAAATGGAAGAGCTGAGAAACACTGAAGCACTGTGCATTGAGCCAATCGGAATAATTCTGCCAAGGGGCAGGCAGGGTACGCCAGCCACCCCCACCACTTCTCAGGCTGTCCCCATTTTCGGAGTTGGGACATTCCAGTCTCATTCCTCTGGGGCAGCTGCAGACACACCCCTCAGAAGGACTGATACCCCAGCAGGTGGTGTGACCCTCCCCTGGGGCACTCTGGTGGGACTAATGGCAGTTCAGCCTGACAGCACTGCCACATGGAGGCTGAGGTGCCCCCAACCCAAAGGAAATGCAAGGAAAGCTGCGTCTAGGAAGCAAGGGCATTTCCTCCCATGCAGCTGCACGTGACCTTGGTCACATCATTTTACCTCTTGATCTTGTTTCCTCTAGTGAAGCAAAAATTAACTGTATTCATCTCCTGGGTATGTTTGGAAGAGGTACCCAGGGTCTGGTGCTGGGGTGCCCCACTGTGTACCTCTATTTGGGGATTTCTGCACTGCTGGCTAATCTTGGGGCAGAAGGAAACAGGAATGAAGGGGTACTGCTGTGGCCAGCTGAGTAATGGTGTGTATTCCACCCCTTACAGAGCCCAGGGCATTAAGATAGGCACAGCGCACTTGGTGGAACACTTCCACCCCCACCACCCCCAGCCCAGCTCCCCCTCTTTCTGCTCTGCTCTGCTCCCCCAGAGGTTGTGAGGCATGGGGCTGCTCTCTCCTCCACCCCCACCAAATCACAGGCCAGAGAGCCTGTACAGCTGCCCTGGTTTGAGCAGGAAATCCCAAGGCTTCTAAGCAACCGGAGGGAAGGAATGTATGTGTTGGGGGAGGGGCAGAGGTAGGTTAGGTCTTTTCAGGGAGAGGGTCTGTCTCCAGACAGACCTGGGTGGCCTGGAGCCTCAGCCCTGCGATGGAGCAGACAGTGCCATGTGAGAACTTGACTAGTGGGTGAACGGTGGGTGACCTTGTACAAATTGTGTTGTCTGCTGTTGGATACGACTGTCCTCTAAATACACGTTTCTCTGTGGGACTGATACTCTGACACTGTGTTCTGTGTAAAGCCTTTTATATAGTTGTGGCTCAAGGCCATGCTAGTTCATCCCTGAACATGAGACCTTTTGGTGAGTGCCATAGAGTGCCAGTTTTTTCTTATGTGCCTGGAAGTGAGTATCTGCACAGAAGAAGGTGAGGGTGTATGTGTTTGGGGTGAAGTGGGTATGTTTGGCAATGTCCCCAACCCCTGGGCACACAGGACTTAACATTTTACAAAGCCCTTTCACCCCTGTTGCCTCTCTGTCAATTGTCATGATAGAAGTAAAGAAGGAAAGGCAAGATGCAAAGGCAGGAATCTAGTTCTCCCCCACCCACACACACACACAGGAGGGAAAGAGGTGTCTGGAGACTAGATCGATCGCTTGTCAGGGTGAGGCAATGTTGAATAGGGAGGCAAGGTGACCCCATTCTAGTCCTTTTGATTGTGTGTGACATCCTGACTCCTGCTAGACACTTGGCAGCTCTGGCATAGGATCCCATGTGTCCTCATACTGACCAGCCCTGTGAATCTCCAAGAGCTTACCTTTAAAAAAGAGGGGGTACTGGAGCCATAGTCTCCTTGAGACTTCTACAAAGTTCTATGTGACTGTAATAGCCCCAGCTCAACCTGGTTGAATCTCTTGAATTTACATAGCATGTCCCATCCCTAGAAGGATATGACTCTGTTCACACGGGCTGGGTAGCATGTCCAAACTCAGATATGCACTGTAAATTGAGTGGTGTAAGAAAGTTATTCAGGAGAGGGCTATGACACCTGCCCCCAGGGTGCAATTGAGGGCTGTAGAGTGGAGCAGGGACAAGGCCTACCCTCCCTCTACCAGAGAGAGCTTTGTCTTTCACAAACACAAAGCCTGGAAATGGTTGAGGATGGAGCCTCCTAACCACCATTGTTTGGGGTGGGAGTGGGAAGAATATTGGGTGGGTGGTGCTTGCTACTCCCAGTGGCAGCCTGCCTGCCAGGCATCTGCTTGGCACTGGGAGCAGCTGTGTGTGTGAGTGGGAGGCAGAAAAGGTGCCATTCACCGCCAGTTGTTTGCACTTACCATATGCCAGGCAATGGGTGTGTCACCTCCACCGGTCTCCAGAGTGTTGGGCCCCAGAACATGTGAGGAGTCCATAAGCCTGGTCCCTCGGTGTGGAGTTGAAGTGTGTGACTAAGCTCAGCCTTGGTGTTCTGTGCTGATCATGGCTTCAGGCCAGGCCTGGACTAGGAGGTGCCTGGTCACGTTATCTCACCCCTTCCTTTCAGCATCCCTAAGTGATAAACACTGTCTGTCACTGCCTTTCTGTTCCCAAGGAAGACAAGAAGAGATTAGGCATGGCTAAAGTCACAAGCCACCAGCTCCCAACCCAGGTCCTGGGGACCTGGCTGTGATAGCTAACTCAGTGATAGCAGAACTCAGTGGCATCACAGAGAAAGGCTGCTTCTTCCCTCTGCCTCCCATCATTGCCTATCTCTGAACACCTGTTCCGGAAACGGGAGCCATTGTTCCTCCCCTTAGGCCCTTCCTGTGTGCATCACCATCCTTCCTCCCCTTGGGCCTTTCCTGTTTGTATCCCTCCCACTGTATTCCACCCCCCAGCCCCACCCACTCCAGATGTTTCCTTGGGGAAACCTCTGATCCTTTGAGGGAAGTGGGGCTTTCCACCAAGAGAAGATGGAGGAACAGACCTCCTCCAGTTCTGGTTCACTGTGCTTGCTCCCCATGCCACAAATTTGGTGGAGAACCTGTCAGAAGTAAGCAGGGTCATGGGTCAGACAGTGCCCAAGTCCACCCTCCGCCCTTCGTTGGCCCAGTTCTAAGAGGAGGGCCCTCTTCTCCTGCCCAGGAGCCTCTCTCCTTCCCTGCCTTGCCTCTGCATCGCACACTAGACCCCTAGCTGGAGCTGTTCCTTTAGGTGTCCCAGTGGAAGCCCATTTGCTTTTCTTTAGACTTAGTCTGACACAGTGTTCCATAAACCCTTTCTCTTGCCCTTCTGTGAATCCTATCCTGTTCACCCACATCTGCCTCTGATAGGCCTGGGCAAATTGGAGAACCACCAGATGGCAAATGTCTGGTTTTAGAGCATCTGGGGACTTGGGTACTGAGTGTCCATCTGCTACTAATGGAGCCTTCTGATTCCCAGAATCAGCTGCCTGTGCCCTGCTGAACCTTGATGGCCACAGCCTCAGGCCCTGCTAGCATTGCCATGGGCAGCGTAGGCAGCCTGTTGGAACGGCAGGACTTTTCCCCCGAAGAACTTCGGGCTGCACTTGCTGGATCCCGGGGCACCCGGCAGCCTGATGGGCTCCTCCGGAAAGGCTTGGGTCAGCGCGAACTCTTCAGCTACCTGCATCTCCCCAAGAAAGACAGCAAGAACAGCAAGCGAGCACCTCGGAATGAGCCCGACTATGCCACCCTCTACTACCGGGAACATCCTCGGGCTGGTGACTTCAGCAAGACTTCCCTACCTGAGCGGGGTCGCTTTGACAAGGTGCATCTATCTGCGTTGTGGGGGATTGGGCGATGATGCTGGGTGGTCAGCTGGGAGGCCCTGACGATAGGCTAGGATAGGCTGAAGTGTGAGAAGTTTGTTCCACATGGGCTGGCCTGAAGCTTGACCACTGCCTCCCTGTGACATGTACCCTGTATTCTCAGAGGGGATTCTAAGGGCCTTCAGGAACATCAGGTAGACAGAAAAAAAGTGACCAACCCAACTCATGCCTGAATTTTTTTTCCTGACAGTGCCGAATTCGTCCGTCAGTGTTCAAGCCTCCTGTGGGCAGTGGGAAAGGCTTCCTGTCCATGCAAAGCCTGGCGGCGCACAAGGGCCAGAAGTTATGGCGAAGTAATGGCAGTCTGCACACATTGGCCTGCCACCCACCCCTGAGTCCTGGGCCCCGGGCCAGTGAGGCCCGTGCACAGTTGCTTCACGCCCTCAGCCTAGATGAAGGTGGTCCTGAGCCCAGCCTTTCAGACTCTTCCAGCGGGGGTAGTTTTGGCCATAGTCCAGGCACTGGCCCCAGCCCCTTCAGCTCCTCCTTAGGCCACATTAATCACATTGGAGGCTCATTGGACCGTGCTTCAAGGAGCCCCAAGGAATCTGGACCTCTGGCTGTACTGAGCTGCCTGCCTGAGCCACCTCCCCCCTATGAGCTCTCCTGCACCACTGGTGGAGAGGTAGCCATGTTGCCTGAGACCTGTGAGGAACTCAAGAGGGACCTCAATGACCAGGATGTCTCTAACCCCTTTACTCAGGTGAGAGAACCCCTGCCCTGGAGTGGTTTGTCCCTTAGCCTTGAGATATAGACCAGATTAATTTCTGACAGCTGGCACAGCTGGGGTGCGGACAAACCGTGAACAAGGCCTAAGCATAGTATGGTGTTGGGGGCCAGATGTATGATGCAGGTGGTGGAGCAATGAGATGAGAGCATGTGCCCCTGATGGCATCCTTCCTCCCATTGGTCTTAAAGGAAAACAAAAGACTCCTGTAGCTCAGGGGTAGTGTGCTTGCCTAGCAAGTGTGAGGCCCTAAGTTCAGTTCTCCACAATGAAAAGAAAAAAAAAAAAATTCTAGCCTTAGCTATTTACATATCAGAGTTGCCCTGTCACTTTGGTCCTGTCTGGGAATTGTGTAGGAAGGAGGGAGACAGCCTCAGTGAAGACCGTGTATTAGTAACACTAACTGTGGAGAGCCTCTTTGGGTGTGAAGCACATGTGGCCAGGCTCTGTGGCCTAGGTCATAAGACATTAGTGGTGGCAGGCTGTGGACACAAATCAGCATTGTTATTTACAAAGGGGGCAGGCCAAATTTGTAAATCTGAATGAGGCTGTGCCTACCGCTCACCAGTTCCTCTTTCCCTCAGCAGGTGCTAGAGGAGCGCCAGCGGTTGTGGTTGTCTGAGCTGAAGCGCCTGTATGTGGAACGGCTGCATGAGGTGGCCCAGAAAGCTGAGCGGAGTG